ATAAAAGGTTTAAGGTCAAATCCAAATTGGTTTCAAATTCAGTATTTATGTCATCAATAAAATCCCCCTAAAAGTTAAATTCTGTTTAAATTATTGTTAACTACACACAAAATTGGTGAAATGTGTTCATTTTAATAAATAATAATATATACAGTCGAACCTCCTTGTAAAGGACAACACCTAATTTCAGAGCCAAAGTATCCTTTAGAGAGAGGTGTCCTCTTACCGGAGAGTTGCATAGTAAAAATGATAATTTTATTCAAATTTCATATTTTAGATTTCCTTGCCATAAAAAAAGCAAACTTATTAGAGCATAATAAAAAAAAAGGCATTTTTTATAGTTCATCGATATGGGGAAACATATTTTACGTCAAAGGAAGGAAAAATTCGTGTAAATTAATAAAAGCTATCGTGCTAAAATGGGAGAAATAACATAGCACTTACCTCTTATATAAAGCTCGGCGAAAACAATTAAATTAAAATAATAATAACTAAAAATTATAAATAAATTTTAATTTTCTATTTCATTTTTCAAATATATTCTGTAAAGCACATGTGCTCCTGGTCAGGATATGCTTTCTTTATTTTTAATATCAACACCTGACCCACTTATTTAAAAAAAAAAAATTCTATTGTTTTTTCATATGTTTAGCGTATTTACGCAAGTTTGGCCTTAAATACCCATTTCTTGGTTTCTCAAGAAGCCTCTGGGACCAAAATTATTTTTGGTCGCAGTGGTACAGCCTACTCCACGCTGACGAGCGCCAACAGCGCGAAACGCATTCGTGGATGGCTTTTCTTGATTTATCAAGAAATTGGGTTGGCCAAATATCTGGGAACAGGCTAAAATCAATGTTTAGTTGATTTCTGTTCCACCAGAAGGCGCTCTGCCTTCTGTAAAGCACATGTGCTCCTGGTCAGGATATGCTTTCTTTATTTATATATATACACCTACCCCCTGATTTACACGGTACTTTTTTACACGTTTTCGCTTTTACACGGTTTTCCAAATAAGTTTTTTTTTGTTTGTTTTCATCGCACTATACTAAATGCTACTGTGATTGAACACATGCGCTGTGTACCCATCTCACGAGGAATCCCGAGCTTATGTGCTGACTACATATTTTAACCTGTCAATGCTTTTTATTTTTATTTCTGTGTACACCTATCCCCCGATTTACACGTTTTTCTCAGGAACGTATCTACCGTGTAAATCGGGGGATAGGTGTGTATATATATATATATAATTGAAAGCTATTTCTATAATCTTTGGAAATTATAAATATTCAAAAAAAGAAAGTAACGGTAAAAAATGTGGAAAAATAATACAAATGTGATATTGTACTGGGATAAGGTGGATCAATTAAGAAAAAAAAGACATCTCCTTATCGTGCAAATAATAGTTGTTGATGACTTGCGCCATATATCGGAATAAATATCAACTATTCGTTGATTTTTATTTCAAATTCTGGAATAAGTAAAAATCAACGAATCTTTTATATTTATTCCGATAGATGGTGCAAGCCATCAGCAACTTTCAGCTAAAAAATGTGTTAGGGTGAAGATATTAGACTTCCAGGAAAAAGTTTATTTTCAGAATCTTCAATCCACGGACACCAGAGAAATCCTGATATTTTGATCTTAATATTGATACAAGGCATTATTCTATTGAAATGTTAAAATGTATTTCTAATTTTCAGGGATAGAGGGAGCTAAATCCATTATGATGATTGAACAATGATACACCGTAGGTTATATAAGTTTAAAACAATTCATAATATCAACAATGATATCAATTGTTTTAAATCTCCTGGACGTTAATTAAACAATTAAAAAGGTGAAAATTCGAAACTATTTTAGACGCGTAAGATTCTTTTTGAAATTAAACAATTTCTACTGTCCTTACTGCAATGGAAAAATTAATGGGAGGGCCTGGCTCATCAGTGGTGAACCCTCCCAGCGGTTTTGCCAGTTTAATTTTTCCTCCCATTATTTTTTCCATGATAGATTAAACTGGCGAAAACGCTGGGAGGGTTCACCACCGATGAGCCAGGCCCTCAAAATAATTTTTCCATGGTAGATTAAACTGGCGAAACCGCTGGGAGGGTTCACCACTGATGAGTCAGACCCTCCCATTAATTTTTCAATTGCAGTAAGGGGGCAGTAGAAATTGTTTAATTTCAAAAAGAATCATACGCGTCTAAAATAGTTTCGAATTTTCATAACAGATGGCGCGCTAATGCATCATAATTAAAAAGGTTTCTAGAGATGAGTTTATTTTTATTTATTTAAAACCGTCTCGGGGGTCGGTGGAAGGATGGTCTAAACCGTTGGTTTACGACCGATACGACCCGGGTTCGATTCCCGCATTGGGCACTTTTTTCTGATAAAAAAAAAAATGGCCCCCGATTCTTGCAAAAGTCCAACCCCACCAGCGAGTGCAAGTAACCAAACGGGGCTCTGGCACATTTGTAAGTGCAAAGTCGGACTGTTTTTCACATGTGTAGACATTTGGTGCACTTACAGTAAAAGCAGTCGCTAACTTCTACCCACCATGATTATCATGGCCTGTACCACGTGTACTAGGGATAAGAAAAAAAAAACCATCTCAAGCTTTCCGACATCTCTGTCCTACTACAGGAGTACATATATAAAGAATAAAACGCCGCCTGATGCCAAGTTTTCCTGTGTTTCCATAAGTTCTCCTGTAGAAGGATAGAGATGCCCGAAAGCTTGAGACAGTTTTAAAATAAAAGAAACTCATATCTCGGGAAATATTTTTAATTGTTTAATTGATGATATGAAATACACCGCTATCGGAGTTAAATAAACTCACCGTGTCAATATCATCAAAAGTTAAGTGGTAAAAATTAGTTTTTTTGGTTGATTTGGAACATTTATTGTAAATAATAAAACTGTGCTGAATATACGGGTTCCTTGTAACCCATTTTAGTCGGGTCATATATATATATTACATCGTTATATTGAATATAAATTGTAAAATTTTGATATTAAAATATCATTTATTCAAATAAGACTAAATTCGAGTGTCAAATTTAATTTTAAAATACTTTGTCATAAAAAAAGTCGGTGGACGAGTAGGTAACACCCTCGATTCCCGACAGTCATGAACCAGGATTGAATCCCGCGTTAACATTTTGTTTAATATGTGAATAACCTTCACATATCATTCATTGTTGTAAATATCATAAACTAGGTTGTCTTTTTTGAGCGGTACCTAGTGAAGTTATTTTGGAACCGAAATACTTTGTTTATGTGAAAAAATAGTACAAATGTGATATTATACTGAGATAAGGTTAAAAATTAAACAAAGAAAAAAGGCATCTCCTTATCGGGCAACTGAAAGTTGCTGATGACTTGCGCCATCTATTTTGTTTATGTTTCTTTTTTTTTGTAAGCAAATACAATACAATAGTTGAATATAATACGTCTTTCTTTCTTCTTATCTTCTCCTCTGAAGATGTCATTGGCAACCAATATGTTTGAGACGGCTGCTTTAGCTGTTAAGACTGGGAGCACTCCTCAGTAGCAGGCCGACTTAGCTCAATATGAAATGGCCGCCTCTGACATAAGGAACAGATACCATGTGAAGCCGCTCCTAACTTGGAATGCAGTTGCTGCACATCCTGTGTTCCTTGATCAGGATCCCTTACAAAGTGCTCTCAACCGAGCCAGCTGAGCCCAGGTTTTTTAGCGAGCTTTTTACATCTCCCTTCTCCTTTTTATTTTTTTTTTTCCATCCAGGCTTAGGGAATCGCAATAACAACGTTGATACAATAGGTAAATTACATTTATAAATTAAATTGCCATATATAAAAAAAACTGATAACTATTTTGGGAATGTTTTTCTTTTCATATACGAGTATATCATCAAATATTACCTCTACAGACCTTGCTACAATGATAGAAGTTATTGAATGAGAGAGCTTAGCTCAACAGTGGTTGAATCCTCTCAGCGGTTTCGCTGATTTAATCACCAGAGTAAGTGAAATTAAAATGCTAACAGATTGGGTTTGATAGAATTCCATCCTCATAAGTGAATGTATGTAACCCAACACGACTCTGATATACAAGGTAGTCCCAAAAGTTCGTAAACACTTACCAAAAATGGAAATACCAATATTATTCGCCATAATATTATTCGCCGTTATGTATAATGTCTTTGTATTATGTATAAAGTATTTTCATTATGTATTATTATGTATTCGCCGTAATAATATTATTCGCAAAATAATAAGAAAAATAACGTTTTAAGAAAAACACGAACTTTTGCGACAACCTTATATTATAAGTCGAACGATGTAAGAAAACAATGTTATACAATCAAACCACTAAAATATACTGAACCACTTCAATCCAAGTTTTCTAAGGAATGAGACAATTTTATTTCCATCTCTTAGCTGCTTGTTTCCCTGGTGAAACTCGAGCAAATTTCTCAACGCTTTTTTTTTTTTTTTTATGGAAGGAAAATGTAGGCGATCTGGTCGTTAAAATATGGAAAATAAATTTCCTGGTCGCTCAACTGAACATTGGCATCAGCACAACGTCCAACTTCACAATCAGGAGATACCTGTTTCCTGATTTTATAAAATAATTATACTTCATTTTGAAAATTATTTTTGAATATTCCAAACAAATATTTTAATTTAGATATCCTTAAAAAAAAACGATTTTTATAATTTCCTTGTATGCAAATTGACAACAAGAGAGAACATTTCCTGGTTTGTTAAATTTGATTGGAAAATTGTTTCGACATTTGTAACCATTGTCAGAATATGAATATATAAATGGAGACCTCACATTGTATTGTCTTATTACCTTGTATGGTAATTGGATAGAATTGACTCTCTCTCTCTCTCCCATGTACGTCTTTGTTATAACGTTTATAAAACTAGTGAATACAAAGTAGTATGTAAAACGACATTTCAAAAGTATCCCGCGTGTGTTTCTTTTCAACGAAAAATCAAAATTTTTAGGGTATCAGGGTAGCCTAGTGGACATGGCATCTGCCCGGTAAGCGGAACACTGTGGGTTCGATTCCCATCCCTGGACACTTCTATTTTTTCGTTTATCATTACTCTTCACAATTCATCCTTTCATACCTCATCCCTAAGGTTAGAAAAAATCGTTATTTCTCCTTAAAATAAATTTAGATTTTTCGTTGAAAAGAAACACATGCGGGATAATTTTGAAATGTCGTTTTAAAATCACAAGCCGCATTATATTGTATTGTACAAAGTAGTTTCTCTTTAAAAAAGAAGGAATTTTTATTCATTTTCACTTTTCACTGTATTCCCTAATACATTTTCATTCTTGTCTTTACACAATTTAACAAAATCAATAAACAATCCAGGGCCAGGTTTTTTTTTTAAAAAAGATACCCGGATTGCTTATTGATTTTATTAAACTGTGTTCTCTGCTCCAGGAAAACCTCCAAGCGGTTATCCAGTTTAATATGCTATACTGTTCTAATATTGTATTAGGTACTCTTATATTCTGCACACTGAGATCTTGGTTGAAGTATTTAAGGAAACCATAAACATAAGCTTTTAATACAGTACGGAATAGATACTGTTCCAAAATAACTTTATTATGTACCGCTCAAAAAGAACAACCTAGCTTATGTTATTTAGAACAGAATGAACAGAATAGATATATGAATACAAACAGTTTTATTTATCAAGCTAGTTATACAGAAAAAACTAAATTAAACTAAAAATGTCCCAATTTTGTAGTATTTAGCGTTAACAAAAATTGACAAATAGTTAGTACTGACAAGAAGCCTGCACCCTAAACTCCAATCTAAAACATCCCTGGGGGGCAAACATTCTGCGAAATCCATAATTCTTTGCTGTTATGGTTCGGCAAAATGTAAATTAGATAATGTTTTGAAAGGCCTTCGAAGAAAAAAAAAAAGGTCTGGCTTCAGTTTTGGCATCTCCCCGTACAATGTTCTTCGTATCAGAAGAATTCCTTTATGATCAAGATTTCTAATAGAAGCTGCTAAGATATATTCAAGTTTAAAGTGAAGAGCATTAGAACATCAATAAAAACTCTTCCAAATTAGGGGGGGGGGGGGGAAAGGAATCTCCCCATCGTTCAACTGAAAGTTGCTGATGGCTTGCGCCATCTATCGGAATAAATATCAACTATTCGTTGATTTTTAATTATTCCATAATTGGCCAAATAAGAGGGCCAACAGCCCGAAACGCATACATAGTTAGTTTTTCTTTATTAATCAATAATGGGTATTTGGCCAATTTTGGAGTAATTAAAAATCAACGAATAGTTTCTATTTATTCCGATAGATGGCGCAAGCCATTAGCAACTTTAAGTTGCACAATAAGGAGATGCCCTTTTTCCTCTCTTAATTTATGAAACGTATCCCAGTACAATGTCACATTTTTATTATTTTTTTCACTCTTCCAAATGTTATTTTCCAGAAGCTCATACCTTCCATCGGAATTTCATGCCAATGCCATGTTGATACATGCCTCTGTATATGGGATTTGAAACTATCTTAGCAGCAAAGTTTCTTTCTTAAATAGAACAATATCCTACTTTCTTTGCCGTAATACAAAAAATATTAGTAATTGTTTTATTTAAACAAGAAACCTTCGCGATAAAATAGTTTCAAATTCCACATATCACGGTGACATATGCTCAGAGAGTGTCAGCATCATTGCACTGTCCATTTCACCGAAGTTTCACCCGAATCCAACGTTTAGCGCAATGATGAGAAATATTCCTGCAGCTCAATCCGGACCTGTGTGTGACAAATGCTGTGTCACCATCCAGACAGAACTTCTTGTCCGCTTGCGCTGTACGATTACAGCATAAGCTATCTGACAAATGAAAACATTAAGTTAACATAAAGCAATAACGCGCCATCTATATATATAAAATGAAAGGATTTAAAAGAACGAATGTTTCTTTTATACTCAATACAAACTTCTACTGTCCCTACTGCGATGAAAAAATATATTGGGAGGGCTTGGTTTATCAGTGGTGAACCCTCCCAGCAGTTTCGCCAATTTAATCAACCAGACCGCTTCTCAGAGCTCTAATACTGTATTAGACGATTCTGTTTATATACTCAGCACTGAAGGGTGGAATCTTAGAAATGATTTTCAATAAAAATATGGACATAAGCTTATAGGACAGTTCACCACTTGTGAGCAGGGCCCTCCCAATATATTTTTTCATCGTAGTAAGGACAGTAGAAGTTTGTATTGTGTATAAATTCATGCTTCTAAAAACATTGAGACCCAAATGTTTCTTTTCCCACATAAATCAAACTTCTACTGTCCTTACTGCGATGAAAAAAGGGGGGTTTACCACTGATGAGCCTAGCCCTCCCAATATTTTTTATCGCAGTGAGAACAGTAGAAGTTTAATTTATGTCTGAAAAGAAATATTCGCGTCTTAATGTTTTCATTTGTTATAAATAGATAGCTTTTTTAGATTGCGTTATTGCTTTGTATTAATAAGCTATCTGAACCCGTTATCCCCACATCCTCTCTCCCAAAGAAATAAAAGTTATCGTGAGAGCCTGACTTGACAAAGTCAAACTCTAAAATAAATATTTGTAACCAAACAGGACACGTCTGGGACATGGCAATATGAAATTTCTGTAAAAATACTACATAGCACGTACATTGATAGAGATATAAACATGAGACAGCTATTTAAATTGATTTTTAAAAAGGCATGCTTCTGGATCTACAAGGTTGGCCCAAAATTTCGTAAACACTTTTAAAAAAAATTGAAATACCAATATTATTCGCCGTTATGTATAATGTCTTTGTATTATGTATAAAGTAATTGTATTTTGTATTATTATGTATTCGCCGTAATAATATTGTTACATCATGATTAATGGCATATTTCTTATATTATTTTTAATATATTTGAAATTTAAATTATATATTTATTTATTTTTATATAAAATATTCTATGATATTTATTTAAAACACAGATTATTTAGATTGTCATCATTTGTATTTAGGTACACGTGTGACTTCACTGCTCTCTTTGATGTGAGAAAATAAATAAAGGATTCTGGTGGCTACTTAAAGAAGACTTATCTCGTTATTCCCTTTTATAAATTTGTAGGATGGTTGAAACACGCTCTGGTAAGATGCAAGACCCAGCACAGGAGAGAATCCAGGCTGAAGAGTCTGCCAAGCCGCAACCTGGTGCAACAATTGGTAGAGATGCTAGTTCCGACCCAGTTGTCCTGAATCCCAACATCGACATCCCCAAGTATGATGGAACGGAAGACCCTCGCCCATGGATTGAATCTCTTGAAGAAATTGGCTTCTTGTACCATTGGGCAGACTACATTATCTCTCGTTATGCCGCCATGAACATGACGGGAAGCGCTAAAACCTGGTTGAATTTACACAAAGCTAGTTTCACGAGCTGGGAAAATATTAAAATCCGCCTCATTCAGGATTTTTCTTTGGACGCGAATAAAGAAGAACTTAGAATGAAGCTCAACTGAATGCAACACTGGAATGAACCAGCAATCAGGTTCGCGGAAGACATTCTAGTGTTGTGCAACAAGGTTGACCCCGCAATGGAAGAAGAAACAAAAATTGAACATGTTATTGGAGGACTGAAAAAAGAGTACTCATTCGCGCTCTACCTGAACCCTCCTAAAACGACCGATGACCTTCTTGTCGTGTGCAAGAAAATGGATTCTTTTGAAAAGAAGTATCGGGTACGTGCGGAGAAATTCAGAAACCTATATAACGGTCCACGCTATTCTAGACCCCAACAACAATCGAGGTACGTGCCGCCGACTGCCGCACGAAACTACCAGACCACTTCCAGGCACCAAGCCCCTGTTTCCAATAATTACAAGAACGACTCCCCTCCTACCCCCAGACAGTATAGAAACAACTTTCCCCAGCCCTCTACCCCTAGACGTCCTTATAATCCTAACTTTGTGCCGAAACCAAACCTTCAGAGAAACACTTACAATAAAAGCCAAGAAGTGAGCAAAAATAGGACGGAAGATGGAAGACCAATCTGCTTTAAATGTAACAAGCCAGGGCATGTGGCCCGTTATTGTAGGGTCAAGTTTATAAGAATCCTAGAAGAGGATCCAGCAGATACCCAAGAGAAGGTCGAAGAAAAATGCCAAATGAATGAAATATCAGAGAAATCAGGACCTCGGCTTTATGCTGATGTATGTCATAGCACACAGACAAATATTCCTACCCGGAATAGATATTACGTGTTGGAAGATTTAAACTAAGCGTCGCGCCTGAATCTGTCAATCAAAGCAAGTCGACCATAAACGGAATCAAGAAGTTGGACCCTAAATACAAATTAAAAATTAATGTGGACAAGATAGGGACTTTTGAAGCTTTGGTTGATACAGGTGCTGACCTCTCAGTGGTCGACCTCAGAACGGCCCTCGATACAGGCCATGGTATAAGTAAACTCGCAAAAATTTGTGCAGGACCCGATGGAAAAAAATTGGACATGGTAGGAAGTATATTTTTAAATATAAAAATTGATGACGAAACATTATCACACAACTTTGTGATATTGAAAACGCATTTACGGACATTAATTCTTGGGAGAGATTTCCTTAAGAAAATGAACGCAAAAATAGATTGTAAGCAAGAAACTATAAAATATGATTTGACGAATAATCATGACGAAATCAATTTTGAAATGTTGAAAATAAAGAGTGCCAAGGATTCCATTGTACCGGAATGTTCCATGAAATTGATCAAGGCATTGGTAGAAACAGAGGATGGAGAATATATTATCGAGGAGAGCAGCAAAATGTTTCAAACAAATGGACTTCGTCTAGCAAGAAGCTTGATCAATGTTATAAATAGGGAAACACACATCTGGATAACTAATCCGTATCCTCGACCGTTAAAAATAATGAAAAACCAAACATTGGCTTTTGGAAGTAGTCCAGCGAAAATAAATGTGAGTCGAGAAAGAGAGGAAGAAAAGAACGAAGAACCTAGATTCCAAATAAACGAAAATCTTTCACCAAAGGAACAGAAGGAGTTAAAACAAGTT